GATAGATAGATAGATAGATAGATAGATAGATAGATAGATAGATAGATTATGTCTCTCTCCCTCTCTCTCTCTCTCTCTCTCTCTCTGTGTGTGTGCGTGTGTGTATATATTCAGTTTCACTTTTCTTTATATTTATATGATGCTATTGTGAAATTAACTTAAAGAACAAGCTTTCTCAATGGGAAAGAAGCAGGATGTTTGGCTAAATATGTATGGAGATTCTCAATCATTCAGGTCATGGTTGTTCCAAACCATGAGACTAGAAGGATGTTTATCATTAAACAAATTTAGCTTCAATCGTGTGCTGTAGAAATACTGGAACGATGGATTGGTATATGTTTTTTTTTAAAGTTGCTTTTGCATGATTTTGCTGAAAGAATGCACAGGGGAGAAATCTTTAAAGGGCCAAATTTTGTGCAAACAGAATGCCAAATAAATTGGCAGCTGCTTCAAAACTCAGAAAAAGAAGGAGGGGCAGAAACAGAAGATGAGAACCCTGGCTATTTTTTAGTGTCTGAAAATAGTTAGATGTAGAATCTTTTTTTAAGTGTGGCAAAAGAAGTGGAACCAGACTGGCTCCTCTATATCCTGCCTACTGCATGAGTGAAAGAAAGAGCATTGCCTTGTCATGTGAGATGGCTCACCCAGCTAGCTGCTCCCCTGGTATATGGACTGTTGAGTGAGTCTGATGAGATTCAGTCTTCCCAGCTGCTGTAAAGGACCTTGAAATTCTTCCTCTTTCACCTGTCAAAGTGTGTGTGTGTGGGGGGGGGGGCACCCCACAGGGAGCTGATCAGTGCTGGTGCCACTGTGAACAGTCTAGGGAATTAAAGCTGTTTATCACCATCTTGTATGGCTGTAAGCTGGAGATAGAAAGTAACATGGCAACAGAGACAGAATGCCTAAAGAACCCTTTCTCTTTGTGAGCCTTCTCTAGCATTTCATCTCAAAAAAGGAGTAAACAGGACTGTGCTTGCTTATTTTATTTATTTATTTTGGAAAACTGATTTGGACCTTGGTCAAATATAGCGCTTCTCTCCTATTTAATTTATTTATTGAGTTTCAGATTTCTGATCCACTGATTTATTAACGTTTATTTTTTGTTTTTGTACCTTTAAGTCAGTTTTTGATTCCCAATGACTGCCTGGACCAGTCCCTGCAGTTTTCTTAGCAAGATTTTCAGAGGTAGTTTGCTATTGCCTCCTTCTAGGGTTGAAAGAGAGTGACTGGCCCTAGCTGACTTTTTGCCTAAGATGGAACTAGAACTTACACATTCTGAGTTTCTAATCTGATACCTTGATAGCAACACCAAGCTATTAAAGCAGTACATCTTTAATATGATGCTTAAAGAACAAGTGTCTACTAAATGAATGTGAATTGTTAATCTTTCAATCCTAAATAGATATGATGAATCTAAACATTCATCATATCTTAGCATGGTTTGAAATTATCATCCAGCAGTTTTGATTGTGGAACCCTTCTGGTTTTGCCCCAAAATATGGGGAAATAAATCAATGTCCATTAAATGCTGCCAATGAACAGGTTTCAACCCTGACCTTTACTTGTCAAAATCTATTCAACAACCAGTTGGGGTATTAGAAAGATATCTTTAGGGCCTCTTTGTCAATCAGTGCAGACATTAACAGAACTCTAAAGAGCATGTCCTCCCATGGGAGGTAACCATAGTAACATGACACATTTATGCAGAAAAGGCCAAAAGGTGAACCAGTGTTTCCTCTCTCCAAAGTGCAAGGAGATGAAATATGAACAAGTGGAATGACCAAACAATGCTGGTGGTATATCAAGATGTGGTGATTTATGTGTTGAAGCTTGCTCCAGAGCAAGAAGTTAATTTAGTCACTACCACAAGTTTGGTTAGTGGTACATGTAACGATACACCTTCCCATCTAAATTCCATTGTTTTAAGATGTCAAAGAAGGCTCAGAGATTAATATCCCAGATCCTTTAACAGACCAGCCAACAAGCTAGTTGATGAAGGTGGGGGAGCTAGAAAATAACGATCAATCCAGTGATAATGAAACAGCAGAAACTCCCATATTTGCACATAGACTCAAAAGTTTTTCTCTGTAATGAATTCAGTAAAAACGATTTGTTTTGTTCTCTCTGTTATGTTCTGTGTTCCAAAGGGCTGCCAGCATTTTACTGGTAACATTTTTTTCTGATCATGGAGATAAACTGATGAACATAACTTCCTCCATTTGGTTTCTGTATCTTAGATTGTTGTTAAAGGCACAGAAGCAAAGACAATAATGAAGCTTACATCCTCATCAGTCAGACTATTATCCAGCTCTCTTTGAAATGAATTTCAGAAGCAGGGGCCTCTAAATCTTAGAGATTATCAGATCCAACACACCAAGCAAGTTCTCCCAGGCAGGGATGTTTTGCCAGTTTGATAACCAGGGGTTCTCCAGTCTCATCAGTGCAGGATAGGGCAAGAAAAACCATTTCTTCCTGCTCTGGAAAAACACAGACGCCATTTCTCTCTCTTGCTTTCTTCCATGCTATTCATTCAGAATTGAGTTAATTGAAAGAGATGAGAAGGATTCCTGCTGCCAGATAGCCTTGGGTCAGTTTGTCCTCTTTCAGTACTTCCTCAAGTACTTATGCACTCAGCATCCCTCATGCAGCTATTGTAGTATCTGCTTTAATTCCTTACTTCTGCAGACCTGACCAGATTTATTTATTTATTTATTTGATTTGTCAATGGCTTACAAGATAATAGGTATAAGTAAAAACATAGTTATGAATACATGGATACATATAAGAAAAATAAAAAAATAAAAGAAACAATAGGACAGGGACGGTAGGCACGATTGGTGCGCCTATGCACGCCCCCTACAGGCCTCTTAGGAAAGGGGTGAGGTCAATAGTAGACAGTCTAAGGTTAAAGTTTTGGGGGTTTGGGGAAGAAACCAGAGTCAGGTAGAGTATTCCAGACATTGACCACTCTGTTGCTGAAGTCATATTTCCTGCAAATCAAGTTTGGTGCGATTAACCTTGAGTTTCTATCTATTGTGTGCTCTTGTGTTGTTATGGTTGAAGCTGAAGTATTCATTGACAGGTAGGACATTGCAATGTATGATTTTATATACTATATTTAGATCGGACAGAAGGTGGCGTAACTCAAGGTTTTCTAGGTCTAATATTTCAAGTCTGGTGGCATAAGGTATTCTGCAACGAGTAGAGGAGTGAAGAACTCTTCTTGTGAATTATTTCTGGACTTTCTCAACTGTGTTAATATCAGATACATAATGTGGGTTCCAGATTGATGAGCTGCATTTGAGTATTGGTCTGGCAAATGTTTTGTATGCTCTAGTTAGTAGTGTGATATTACCAGAGAAAAAGCTACGTACGATTAGGTTATCAACTCTTAACACCTTTTTGCATATGTAGTTACAGTGGGCTCCAGCACTTAGGTCATTAGAGATGACTACTCCAAGATCCTTGATAGAGTTTGGATCATCAACAAGGTCTTGACTATTTAGCCTGTATTTTATTTTCTGATTTTTTTGCCAATATGTAGGACAGAGCATTTATTTGTTGAGATTAGAAGTTGCCATTTAATTGACCATTCTGATACATAGTCAAGGTCTTTTTGAAGGGTAGCAGTATTGTCTGTGGTGTTGAATAGCTTTACATCATCAGTGAAGAGAACTCAGTTGCTCTTAATATGATCACAGAGGTCATTTATGTAGAGTATGAAAAGAGTTGGTCCTAGAACACTGCCTTGGGGGACATCACTGTTGACAGGTACAGAATTTGATAGGTCACTCCCAATTTTAACCATTTGTTGTCTGTTTGACAGGAATGCTTCTATCCAGTTATGCAGTTGTCCAGAGATATCATAATATTTTATTTTTAGGAGTCGTTTGTCATGTACCACTGAATCAAAGGCTTTACAGAAGTTTATGTAGATTGCATCTATTGTTTTGCCCTGATTGAGTTGTGTAGTCCATATGTTTTTGCAGTGTAAGAGTTGCAGATTACAGGATAGTTTTTTTCTGAAACCAAATTGTTTATTAGAGAGTAGGTTGTTTGTTTCTAAATGGAGGATGATGGATTGGTTAACAGTTGATTCCATGACTTTACAGGTTATGCAGCATAAAGAGATTGGTCTGTAATTTTCAACTAGGCTGGGGTCTCCCTTTTTGAAGATAGGGATGACCGTGGCTTGTGACCACAGTTTTGGCAAGGAGCTGGTCCTGAAAGATTTTTCAAAGATTATGCTTAGAGGTTTGGCTATGACAGTGGATAGCATTTTTAAGAAATAGGCACATATTCCGTCCGGTCCAATAAATAGATATGATTTTAGATTGCGTAATGCTTTTTCAACATTGTCTTCAGTAAAATCGATATGTATTAGATCATTGTAGTTGTCTGTGGTTCGACTAGGAAATACTGGGCATGATCCATTGCTGTTTACAAATACTGAGCCAAAAATGTGTTAAAGAGGTTGGCTTTAATAGTGTTGTTGTTGTAGTCTTTACCATTAGGTCCTTTCAGAGGTGGGATGGACCTTGAGTCTTTTAGTTTGTTGATTAGAAAATTGTAGAAAGCATGGGTGGAATTGGTGCATAGAAGGTTTTGTTCTTGTTTAATGTGATAATTGGTGCATTCAGTCTTCATCTGGTGGCAGAGAAATTCAGGTATTTTATTTACAAGGCTTCTTGCATTGAGTAGCTTGCAATTAAGGCCAGTTGTGGTTGGAATAGAGGTAGTTAGGGGCGTGCATGCTTGGTTTTGAGTGATGTTGGATTGGATGGGATGGGGCTGGATGCAGAGTTTTGGGTTGTGTGAATTTCTTTTGATGCAATCAGCATGGTTGTCAATGTATAGATCCTTTTCTCCATTGTCTAGACAGTTTTTGAGTTCCTTGCGGAGTTCACGGGAGCAGATTCTTTGCAGTATGGATAAGTCTGGTCTTGAGCAAAGTTTTTTGTGGTTTGGACTGGTTTTTGCAATGGCATTTATTGTATGAATGAATAAGCGTTTGCTGGACTCATTTTTGCATGCAACTCTACAAAATCTTGGGGCCACAGAGCCGTCATTGTATTTGTACCCATGGCCATCTCTGGTTATTTCAATGATATCTTCAGGAGAGATGTTTGTTGTATTTGAGTTGCTTATGATTTCATGAACTTTGGTGATGTCATCTGATTCGTTGGTGTCTTCGAGACCAAATAAGATGGCATTTGGACATTTTTGTTCATGTTCCATGGGTCTCTGATGAGTAAGGAGATATTATTTGTGGAATTATTTGATGGGATAGTAATTGTTTGTGGCTGTGGTTTGGTGTTTATTTTTAGTTGTAGTTGTGATTGTAGTTGAGGTAGTGGTTGTGGTTGTTGTGGGATTTGATTTTGAATGTGCAAACCTGTTCATGGAAGAATTTGAATCCAGAGCCCTGGCCAATGCCATCCACAAACCCAAACTATGGTTAAGATACATCGATGACACATTTGTGATTTGGCCCCATGGAAAAGAAAACCTAAACAATTTCCTAACACACCTAAACAGCACACACCCCAAAATCAAGTTCACCATGGAAACGGAAACAAACAAACAACTATCATTCCTAGATGTACTAATCTACAAAAAAACAGATGGCACACTAGGACATACCATATACCAGAAGAAAACACACACCAACCACTACCTCAATGCCCAATCCCACCACCACATAGCACAGATAAACTCCATGGTCAAAACACTAATCACCAGAACCAAACATCTGGCAGACAAGACACACATAAAGACTGAACTATGCACCCTGACTAAAGTACTGACAGCTAACGGCTTCCACAAAAGCAAAATCACTGGCTTGATCCACAAAAACACACTGAGACATAATGGAGACCTAGAAGATGAACAGACCTATGGAACAGCTGTCCTGCCCTACATAAGAGGTACTACAGACAAAATCAGTAAGATAATACACAGGCATCACATCAAGACTGCCTTCAAAACAGACAGAAAAATAGCAGCCATCCTAAGAAACCCCAAAGATAAAACTGACCTGGAAAACCAAGGTATATATGAAGTTCCCTGTGTATCATGCCCTGCCACATACATTGGGCAGACCAATAGAAGAATAAGTACCTGCCTGGATGAACACAAAAACACAGTAAAAAAGCTAGAACACACTTCCTCACTAGTCCAACACATGAACGCCACAGGTCATAGCATCAACTTCAATGGCACCAAACCCCTAGCCTATAGAAAACCCCAGCCACAGAATTATCAGAGAAGCCATAGAGATTGAAAAAAGACCTGAAAGCATGAATAGAAGAGATGATTTCACCAGACTGTCAATTATTTGGAAGCCTGCACTCACAAACAAAAACATCTCCACACCACAAGCCAGGCAAACACCTGGGCACAAACAGATCCCCCCTGATACCTCCAGCTCAAACACACCCCAACCAGCCACCCAGATGAAACCTAGCTTCCTAATAAATGATAGCCGTCCATTTACTCAGAGCCGAGCCGCACTAAAAGCCTCCAATACAGGAACACAATGTTGCCAGCCAATCAAGACAAAAAAAGCCACAAAACAGACAGAAGATATTAGAAACACCAATCAAGCAGAACACAGCAAACTCCAAGACCAATAAACACAGACCAAGACTCCCAACCAATCAGGATGAAGAAAAAAACCATTCTGGCACAGCTGATAGCTAGCCCCAAATTTAAAACAGAAACGGCTGTAAAAGCCTGACTCACAGACAAACACTATACAGAAGCTTGATGATGGCAGATGAGATTCTGCCGAAATGTTGCTACAACTTTAAAAGCAGAACTATAATGACGTGGGAAAATACCCGAACAAAGCTGAATACCATACATGTAAGTACCCGCGAAAACTTAAGAAAACGTATACATACATACATACATACATACATACATACATACATACATACATATTCTGTCTCACCTTTCTTCTTTCCCCAAAAATGAAAACGTACAAACTCACACAAACACAGGTAGGCAGCTGGCTCAGACTTCACATTCTTTGGAACTGATAATGTCCTTGGCATTCCAACGTGCTCTGCCTGCCAAGTCCGAACTGATAACAAGTAAAAAGCTACTTACAGAAAATTACAAGGCAGACCACAAAAATCATTCCCAAAGAAAACCTGAAGTAAGATCAAACTTTGTCCTGTACAAAGTTCCAGCCGACAACACACCCACTTTTATCCCCTGTGGGGTATGGCTCAATGACTCAGCTCACTCTCTGACCCTCCCACGCCTCCTACGTTGCTGCTCACGTTTCTCCCTATGACGCTGCCTAGGATCAAGCCAACATTCTTCCTCTTGACTCCCTGTCAGGGGCTGCTCCGATATGCCTTCCTCCTGATTAATCTCAGGCTGTTCCTCTCAGTTGTCTGATGAAACCTGAGGCATTATCAGGGAGGAAGGCATTGCCAGAGAGGAAGGTCCTGGGGAGGAAGGCATACCCAGTTCCTTCTCCTCATCTTCCAAGTCCTCTTCCTCTAGTAGCACAGGCTCGGGAATCGAAGCCACAACAAACAAACAAACAAACAAACACACACACACACACACACACACACACATATATATATATATATGGCATTCAGCTTTGTTCGGGTATTTTCCCACGTCATTGTAGTTGTGCTTTTAAAGTTGTAACAACGTTTCGGCAGAATCTCATCTGCCATCATCAGGCTTCTGTATAGTGTTCATGAATGACGTGGGAAAATACCCGAACAAAGCTGAATGCCATACATGTAAGTACCCGTGAAAACCTAAGAAAACATATATATATATACATATACATATACATATACATATACATACACACACACACACACACACACACACACACACACATATATTCAAACTCATGCCATTTTCAAGATGTTATTACATTCATTTGATCCTTTGATCTTTCCTTTCCCATGGATGCCCAATGTTTTATGTTATTACAATTCACACCTATCAACTCTCATGAATTCCCAAGGCTTGGATGTTTTTGAAAATCTAATCCAAAAACAAAACTTTGCCACAGTAGAATCAGAAACCTTCAGTAATTGAAATCAAGCTTTCTCTGGTCTAGTCCACATTGATTGTGTCAAGCTCACATTGTCTTGTCTTGGTCTTATCTTCTCTCCTTTTCTCTACAGGCTTACTCTGGGCTGGCTCACTGAACACCCGTTTTATCAATGGATACTTCTGCTCAAAGAAGCAGGATCATTTGCACCAGTTAAAGCCAAAGACAACCTGATGATAGCAGAAATTGTATATTAACAAGCTTTCAACAGTGTCCTTCTCCCTGAAGTTGAAGTCTGCCTGTTTTCACTGTATACTTGTGCAATGGCTAGAAGCAAATAGTGAGAAGTGGAAATGAGTTTCCCTATCTTCCATGCAAGTATTATGAATGAAAGAAAGGTTACAACCTATAAAGATGGCATTGTATTGATTGCGTTGTAAACCATCCAGAGTCACTTTGGACTTTGAGATGAACAGAATAGACATTTAATTATTTATACATTTAATAAAGATATTTTCCTGTCTGTATTTTGTGGCAACCAGGTCTGGCTGAGACAGAGGTGAAGAAATTGTTAATTCTTTCTTAAAAGAAAGAATTTTATTTCCTGAAAATAAATATTTCTGAATTCAGTTGGTCTCAGACCTGAACGGCCGATGACCAACAGCTCCATAGAAAATCTTCCACCTTCCATAAAGGTATATTATGGTCAAGGAAAAAACGGGGAATAGGAGAACCTGCTATGGGTTTATCTGGCAATTTTGTTACTTGATTCTAATCAACATGGCTGCAGATACACACATACCTGAGAATAAGCTACACTAAATCTAATCAGACTCACTTTTCTTGAGGAGCAGCTTTCAGTGAAAACCCTTGCTTACTTCTGAGTAGTAAACTCTGTGTAAGAAATGTCTATGCAGCTGAAACCCTTGTTCATTTGGAATTCTCTTCGTCCTTTTCTTTTTTATCTCTATTTACTTTCACTTTGACCTCTTCAAAATTGGAATACAGCTTTTGAAGTCATTCCCAGAATTGGTCTGGGTAAAGTGTAAATATAAGAAATAAACATAAATAAATCATGATCTGGATATCCTTTTTGGATGCACTAATGCAAAGAGTATCCTTTTGAGGCTCAAGAAGCAAGAATATAAATGTTAACAGGCAAGGAAGAATGAAAAGAAATAAATGGAGCAATTCTGCACAATGAAATATCCATATTCCTATTTCTGATTCTAAAATGTTGGTAAGTACCTGCTTTTCAGCCTCAGCATGACATCCATTTAACAGATCCTCCATGGTGATTCATGACAGTTATTCACTGCTATATAAGAGTTCCAGTTATAAAATAAGAACCTGTCTGCCTTAAATAGCTGCCACTGCCTTTTTTTTCCAGAAAGGCAGATGAAAGTGGTTTTGCATTTTTGGAAACATGGCTTGGCAGTTATATTTCTTAAGAATCTCTCTCCTTAAATGGGTACTGGTTGACCTCATTTGAGCTGGTCACAGAGGGAGGCCATAGTTCCAGTATCTGAAAATAAATGCAGTGAGCATGCATGTTTTGATTTGTGGCAATTTTGTGCACTAGGCAATCCTAAGCTGCTACATTGGCTGCTGCCTATGTGAATCTAGAATTGTATTGCTCTATGGATCTGAACAAATGAAAAGCCAGCTTATAATCACCTCTCCCTCTAAAGCACACCTACTATGTTAGAACATTTTGATACTTTGAGAATTATATTTTATTACTGCTTTGAGTTATCCTTATGACCTGGTTTCAACAGGATGCTAGGTCATTGTTTGTTTAACTATGGTCTCTTGAACAACCCATACTAAGTCAACTCAACAGCTCACCATCCACAAGTTGGCATCTGAACTCTGAATCACATGTCTGTTTCTGAAGTTTGTGGCTAAGCCTCAGTCTGTCAGTATTCCCCTCCCCATCTATTTCTACCCTTCCCCTCTGTTCTAATAGAATATCATTTTGCTTCATGGGATTATTGGATAGCAAAAGCTTTCCATGGTTCTCGGTTGCATATATAAGATCATGGCTAACATTGGCTGTTGTTGTGCATTCCTGTTGACAGATACTGTCTAGTGTTGACTGCTGCCTATGATGTACTGTAGAAAGGTTGAGTGAGCATCCCAAATTATTGGATGTCAAATGGTGGTGTCAAATACTCTCCAGTCCAGAGGCCATTCCTATTAAATGCAGTTTGAAAAGATGGAGAGAAGAAAAAACAAATATGGCATTTGTTTAAATGGTTTTCAATGATAATGCTCTGTGTCAAGCAATGAGATCTTGTCTGGATAGCAAAATCACTCCTATATTCATAGCAGGTTTTCTGAACTTTTTGGAAATATCTAACCCTCAGACCATGCTAGGATGAAGTAGTTAGTGCAAATATATTGTACAATTAGAGAAATCCACAATCAATTGTTCATTCTCTATGGAGAACAATGCTGCTTGACAGCACTCTCAATATTAATGCATCTGTTTTTACACGGAGGCACATCTGGACCATTAAAAATAACATGATTTGGGGTAGAGTACAATGTGAGACAGATGTAGGCATGCTTATACTCAGAAACATGAACCGAATGCTACGGTAGCCTTATAACAGTCTTCATTAACACAAGAAATTTAACTCTAAACTCTATCTAAATATATATTAACTTTGAAATATTTGGCTCTCCTTCAAACAATTTTTGAAATTGTTTCAGTGTACTAAAAATAATTCCAATATGAAACCCTTATTTCATCTCCTTTTAAGCAAGTCTAAGAGATTGCTTAACCATCAATATTTTAGCCAAATGGGCCTAGAACAATATATTGCAGTGTATATTCACCTCTTGTCAGACAGTATTTCTGTTCAAAACACAAGTCAGTCAACTAGACATCTATGCCCTCCATCATAACGTTCCCTTCCAGTCATTTCCTCCCATCTTTCTTTTTAATTTCCTCAGTTATTTTTATACATCTATCAGTAGTGGCTGCCTGATTCCTTCTTCTCCAATATTAGTGAGAGAATCTTGGAAATTCCCCAAGCATGCTTACATCTCACTTTTCAGTAACTCCACATTAATTCAACCCCGTTGGAACTCATTACCCCATTGCTATGCATCCAGGTCCTTGACAAATGGCTAGTGGGATATCTTTGCATGGGGGCAAACACAATATGCAGATAAGCCCTTAGTACACTATTAACATTTTTCTTAAAGTGTAGCTGGAAGTGGATTTATATAGTGGCGTGTTTCAAATCTGAACTGCCAAAACCAATGGCTAAAGTCAATGATGTGCATCTACTTTTCCCATGAAAGTTGTTTTCTTTAAAGCAATAGAAAGCAGAATTATATATATTTTTTCTTAACCATACCATTGCTCTGCTCTGCTAATCAACCAGCTAATTGCTCACTGAGACCTTCTCTTAATGAGGAGAGGTAGTCAAAGAAAGGAAATATTGCCATGGAATTAGTTGACACTTTTAAGAGGATTTTAAACCCATTGCTGTCATGTGCCAGCACCATTAAACTAATGGTAAAGAAGCAGCAGGAACCAGAGCAAATGGAATGCAACCAGGGAGGTAAGTGAAATCTAAAACCAGGGAGGTTTAGAGCACCATATGAGATCCGAGGCATATGTGCACAATGACCCTGAATAGACCTAAGCTCACGGCTGTTGATAAATGGTGAATTTCTGTTTATTTGTTTTACTTGCCTGTTGCAATATTGGCTAGGAAACCCTGCCCCAATTTCTCATTTATCCTTGATTTCCAGCCTCTCAAGTAAGTCAACAATAGTCAATGGAACAATAATGGGAGAGGAGACCAGGATTAGTGGTAGAATTTGTCTCTCACTGAGAGACATGTGACTCCAGGGCTGAGTGCTGGCTCCTAATGATCATTAACAAAAGCAATGCCGAGGGTGGCAGGAAATGTGATCTTCCAGTAGGCGCACTTTGCAAATAGTATTCCTGACTGGAAGATATAACCTTTTAAAGGACCCTCTTTTCCCACCCCCTTCATTTAAGCTCTTTTAATTGGCAAAGCAGAAAAGTCTTCTCTTTTCTTTGTTTATATCAAATGCAGCTTTCTCTGCATGTAGTTCAAATAGCTGTGAAGAAAACTGGTAACTTGAGCACAATGTCAAAGAAATCAGACTGGATTATAAATTGAGGGCTGATTAAAATGTGGGCCAAAAGAGTCATTCTGTAGATTGAGGCAAAGCCAGGCGGAGTTTGTACTTGGCTGTGCCAATTGCCACCCCTCAGATGGTATAGAGGTATGATATTTGTTGCATTCTTTCTTTCTTTCTTTCTTTCTTTCTTTCTTTCTTTCTTTCTTTCTTTCTTTCTTTCTTT